AATGTTTATGATTCGTGATGTCTGAACATTCAAGACTCCATAAGCCATCTCCTTGCTTGGTTATCTCATCTATTATTCAGCACTACACTTCATTCTGCATTTGCAATCAAGTCGTCTTTATTGTTGGCTGTCTACGTGCATGACTGATGTGTACCGCCCCCCTCCCACCTTGTGTCATTTCCTGCCAAAGGAAATACAGACAATACGGGGCATTTGCACCTTAGTGCACCCAATTTTTTTCACCCAACAATTTTTTTAGGTATTTTTACACATATCAAACGTATAATAGTAAGCAGGATATTCTTGGCATCTAGGTGTCAGAAAAATAATAAAATCTTTGTTGTAGTACTTTTTTAAGATGTTAAATTTAGCTCCCATTCCAGATGCAAGCTTAGAAGAGGAGCAGTGAGATCTGTAATTTGTATGTTTTGTTTTATATGGTGCACCCAAAAAATTTTTGTGCACCTAATTTTTTAGGTTGGGTGCACCAGTACACCTATTCCCAAAAATGAATTTTGAGCCCTGAGACAACAACTGATTGATAATGCCTGGGAACACTGAGTGCCCAAGATTGTCATAAGGGACTCAGAGGCAACTGTTTTAGTGATAGAGATCTGCAATGGGCCCAAACTCATTACTGACAGCTGCTTTATCTAGGAAAGGGAAATAATGGACTTCTGTATCAACTTGAATAACTCCGAATAACAGAAATGCTGGAACACGATCTACATGTAAAGATAAAACATGCTATGGAATCTAATGCTGGGTGGTAATGTAAAATGCTGGGTGGTAATACTCAGATGTAACATTTGACTATATATAATAAAGAACATTAATTATAGTATGCACTAGTATGGTATAGCATGTACTTGAGCATTTGCAGCTCAATTTTGAAAAAGCACTAAAATTTACAGTTATGTATGAATATATTCAGTCTATTCTAATAGTCAATTGTGAGTTTTGTAACTAATAAAAATCTTTCTCAAAAAGTCAAATATGATCTGATTCTAACTCCCAAAATAAGCTCCAATAGACCTAGAAAATTCTGAAAAGCTTTTGATATAAACATTGAGTTCAGAGTCCAACTGAGGGGTTCATTTGGAGGTGAACATAAATATTTATTTTATGTGAGTGAACTATTTGTTGTTGTTTTAAAGATTAACAGAGAGCTTTGCCTACTGGGGGCCCAAGAGTCTTCTTAAGTTACTGCCAAAAACAAATTGTCACATCCTAAAGGGTATGTAATGTCCTAACGGGTGTACAAGGAAGCTCCTCCTTATATCTGCTTGGAGATATGTAAGGAATCAATACAGCTATTTGTAGTAAAGTGTGAAACTCTAAATCAACTTGTAGTGGGAGCAAAGTTGTTATTGTAAATGTTCATGGTGGCTTCAGAAATTCATTTTTCCAGTTTTTGCATTGACCGCATACCACAAAATCATGACAACAGGAATGTCTGTCTTGAGTTCATTTCAGCAGCAATCTTAAAATACAGCAAAACCTGTAGTGGGAGCAAAGTTGTTATTGTAAATGTTCATGGTGGCTTCAGAAATTCATTTTTCCAGTTTTTGCATTGACCGCATACCACAAAATCATGACAACAGGAATGTCTGTCTTGTGTTCGTTTCAGCTGCAATCTTAAAATGCAGCAAAACCTACCCTTCCCCTAAAAAAAAAAGAACAAATTTACCTTAGAATATCCAAATGTACACATCCTGTTTTGTTACATTGTCTAGACTATGTTATGTGTATTTACATAAAAGGAAAACCAGGAATTAATCTACACATAAATCTACACATAAATAAACCCTTGATGAAACAAGCTGTTTTATCATCTTTTGAAATAAAACATGTGCAAACTAAATGGAAATTTGAGTGCACAGGTGGCAACCCTACCTGTTAAGTCACATGAATGGAAAACATCAAAGCTCCTGCAGGGGAAATGGTTTTCAATCTATGACACAAAAGCTGTGGTATGTACTACGTCAAACCTTACATGTTCCTATCTCCTAGCAGATGTTGGGGGGGGGGGCAACTCTACAGCTGCCCACCCCTTTAATCATCTGCTTCGAGAGCAACAGGAAGTTATTACCATTAACATTTAATGATTATTTCTGTAATAAACAGCAAAACAAGTATGATATGTAGCAAGTACCTCAACTGGGTTCAAAGTTTCGAAGCAAACCACACTTCTTTCTCACGCACGTTCTTTAACCACAATGGTTTGACCTCTGACTCTGAAGGAATACTTTACATTCCACATGTGCAAAAACAACTACCCATTCAAGCTCCAAAGGCCTGACCCCTTCGTAAAGACTTTCTTTATTACAGGTTATGAGAATGTGAACATTGTCTTCACTAGCTATAGATTAAATGCTATATTGTGTTGGAAGAGCTCCAAGGTATCCACATTCTATTATATGGAACAGTGCTCCAGAGGGCAAATCGACCATTGCCAGAAAACCAAGGGGGAATACTTGATAAACGAATGTTCAGATGGGAAGGCCAAGGGCGTAATTCTAGATACAGCCAACATGCATTTTCTTTTGTTACAGTTTACATGTAGGAAATCATACTTTCCTGTAGTTTTGCTGTAGGAAGAGACAATATCTAAACATGGTACCATCTGGAGAGATACAGGAATAACAGGATGGCCCAAAGTGGGTCAGAAGGATTTATCATGTCAATAACTTACATATCTAAAAGGATTGAGTTTCTTAAATAATATCTCATCAAGGAATTTTTGCACATGCCAAGAAAAAAATAGCTCTTACCAAGCATGTTGATGCATTTGACAACTAAAAGATCAAAGATATTAGCTAAAAACTCTTTTAACAATCACAGCTGCTATATCTTCCCTAGATGGATGGCACTTTAAAATAAAAGCAAAAAATTATGTGTGTAACTGTTAATTATATAGTTAGTAATAGTATCTACAGTAGATGGCCATTAGATAACTACCATGTAGAAATCTTTAGACAGTGCCTATTGTACAACTACAAGGCAAATATCACGATAACAAATACAAGTCCTATATAATGTCCTTGGTCTCAAAATCAGACTCAAAAAACACTTCAAAAGTTTATTTTCAATGATAAAAAAATAAAAAGCTACAGAAGGAAAAATATGCCATTTTCTGGAATGCTTTGTCACAATTTACATTCCACCTAACGACCACCATGTTGTTACCAGGACATAACCTTAGGCATCCATCATTACAACTTACACAATACCACATCTTCAATACACATTACTCAAGGTGTTTCCTGCAGATAGTGCAAAGTTCTGTCAACACAGTTTGAAAAGATGCTGCCACGTCCGATCTGAATGCGTAAATGGCACAAACCCTGTCCTTACTAAGTACATTATCCTGTGCAAATGGTCCACCCTCAAAATAAACATGAAAGGAAGCATCCTAGTTTCAAGGAAGCTAGCAACGAATAGACATTCACAATGTAATATAAAATCCATTGTCAACTGCACCCATATTTGATCATGTACAAGAATGTATTTACAAATTCCTTGGATTTCGTCATTGCATGGGTGTGTGTTTCCTGTGTTTTACCATTCATTACCATACAATGGGGTTTTACAAGCTTTGTGGCAGGAAGATTTTGTACATATTAGCAGCATTCAGCCTTCAGAATTCCCAAACATAATCATGTCATGCATGGGGAAGTGTTCCTCTTTATCTAAACATTTATGTTATGTCACAGGAATGGTTCCACTACATATACTGGGGCCATACAGGGGCCTGACAATACTGATGTTACTTGAATTCAATGGCCTCCTAAGCTACATGAAACATTATACAGTGCCAGCCACCCACAAGACTGAAGTAGCTGGCAATCCACCATCAAACTTGCAAGTTCATCTAACCATCGATTGAGAAAGAACAGACCACAAACCAAAAAGGGTGTGGGTGAATTACAGTACTGTAAACAACCTGTTGCATACACATACTTCTCTCTAAGTCTAACACCACAATTCAAAACCAACTACCTGTTTGTCTTCCACAAAATATGTGCAGATAAAAAAATATCAATACAAACTGCACAGGTAAAACTTTGCCAAGCTCAGAAGAAAATACTTCATAATTCAGACAACATTTTGTCAACAATATTCATCAAATGAAAACACCTGTTTGGAAACAAGTTGACAGTAAAAACCACTTGTTCTGATGCCAGCTAACTACTAGTATCTTCAACTGATCGTTTCTCCTGCTCCAAAAGCTAAACAGAATCATCGCTCATTAGTCAAGGGCATGATAATTTCTCCCCAAATTAATTATGCAACATACACACTCAATCAACTGCTACAACGAACCTCCTAAGTGGTGATTAGTCATATTTTAATCCCTGATATATGTCACATATTGGGATGATAAAACGCTGTCATGGTGCACAGGAAATTAATAAAGGAAACACTAAGTATAGGGGATGCATAGGGGATGTATCATGTAGAAGGCTAGGATATTTCCAAGATGTTTAAGATATTTGCAGATATCTGCAGTTTATATTGCATAACAGAGTGTAGGAAACACATATTGGAAGGATATTTGGGCATTTGTTCTTGGTGTTACCGAGCATATCCCCTGAAATGTGCGCTAACATTTCCAAACCCTCCATCTTCCTGACCTTTCAAGACGCAAGACGTCGTTGCGGCGACACTTCAATCGCCCATTCTTGGAACTACTACTAGCAGGGCCGCCATGATGTTGTTATGAACAACTCACAGATCATGTCGGGTTTATGGACGTGTTGCGCGTCCGCCGCTTATCGGGGCACACGCATCGGGATCACCGATCGATTCCACACTCACCAGACCAGAAAAACAACCCGTCAACAATTCACAACATGGCTCTCTCTCACACACACACGGTACGATCGACGCGGCACGTAGCCACGCGTGTTGTTGTCCCTGAAACCGACAGCCACCACAAAATGACGATCACGCTTCGTTTCATCAACACAACACTACAGTGCGCGTTTCGTACTTACATCCGATCGGCCTGTTGTCGCGGTCTTCCTTCATCACGAAACCGCCTTGCTGCTGCTGCATGTTGTAAGAGGCCATTCCAGGATCCGGCTCTTTGTCTGGAGTAACTCGGTTATAGCTCATGAACTGCTCGGGCGGCCGGGACGGCTGGTTGTATTTATAGAAGGGGACGGACTTCGGTTCCTGGACGGGTGCTACAGATATCACGGCGAGCTCTGATTGGTCAGGATCGGTCATGTGATTAGGGCAGGACACTCACCTGAAAAAAGGGAGGGGCAACAGTGTCAAGAAAGAAAACATCTCACAAATTTGAATAAAATCTAACAACGTGAAAGCAAACACGTATCTTATAAGGAAGAGAAGGATTAGGGAGAAAATGGAAGCAATTTTATGTATTGGATGCCCCTATTTGGGATGTCAAACGGCTTCAGAAAGTCTTTGCGTCATAAATCTCCAAGGTAACCGGACACCTGTCGTCGGTCACCTGACTGTGAGTAAGGAAGGCGCTCTCTCGCTCAATGGCTCGTGATCAAAGATTTCGCAATAACACCAGTACTGGAGTATTGCCTAAAGCCACCCAACCCTGTCTTTCATTTCGTAACGTTCTGTGGGGTATTGAACGCTATAACCATTCTGTGATGATTTCATATAACGCATGGCTGGCTGTTTTCAATGCTTTATCGCCGAGAATCTTAAGTGTTTGGCTATGGTCTTCGTGCAAACTTTACCAATGGGGACCAAATTCTGTCAACATTTCTGTTAGAATGATACAACAAAGGGATCCGACACGCCCACCCGTTTGGAGCAGTACAGTACTAGACGGCGAATGAGTCAGACTCCCGAGTGGCTTTGATTGTTGTCAAACACGACTAGTGGAAAATTTCTCAGTGTCCTAGCGGACGAATTGCGCAATTCAGGCTCCTCAGAATGGTCTTTCGCAATTCACAGATAAAAGACCCTGTAATGGAAAATTTCCAAGAGGACTAGCGAACGGATATTTCGTAACAAGAATGAATGGAGATAGCGTTGTGAAAAAATAATCTAAAGTTACTTGGTTGTAATCTCTGTATTGTTACTGTGATTTTCTGTACTGGCCACACCCTGCCCATTTCTTGGATGGGAATATTGGTTCCTTTCCTGCTAGCTGATCCGTTTTCCTGGCCGTGACGTGGAATTAAGCCGGGTCAGGCACCCAGAAAAGGAAACAGTATTGCATCCGGCCTCCCAAATGTACTTTGAGATTATATTGACATTTTGCCGTTTTTTTTTTTTTAAGTTCGCGTTTATTATGCTCTGCTCTCCATTTAGTTACTATCATTATGTCAGCCACAAACTCGAAAAATACAACGAATTCTCGATTCTGCGAAATTTGAATTATGTATTTACAGTCAGTATCTTGTTGGACTCCGTCTTTGAACCATAGTTTATTATCATAGTCAGTCCTTAAGAATAGGTCATCTAATCTCCAAGCAGATCTGGGGAGTAGTTAGAGCAAAACGCGGACCAATAGAAAGACATATTTTAAATGTGTCAGCCTAAAACAAAACCTATAAATCATTGAGCTATGACCTATATCTGCTTGGAGACTATAAATTACGAGTCTAGCTTTGTACTAAATCCTAACCTACTAAAGTGTTAGATACTAGTAAGTAACATAGAACTAACTTGTCACTAGTATGATGGAATGGTTATTATGCTTTGTATAGGTTTTTGTGGAAACAACATGCAAGGTCCATTATATATAGATATTAGTCATGTTGTTTGTACAGTTTTGTTTGGAGTGGTACAGGTCGCGTTTTATGGAAGGCGTACTGTTTGTTACTTTTATAGCCTTCTAAAGTTTGTGTATGGAGGTGTTGTAGTATACACACATCTTTGAAGCGGGGTCTATATAAACATCCTTCTCACAGGTATTTGTAACGTTATAGTAGATCAAGAAAACACTCCATGTTAAAGCCATGCATCCACATGTTCACGGTATTGAGAACTTCTTTAGTATTGTTTTTACTCACCGCAAACAATACAGTAGCGAAAAAAATATCATGTTTTCATCTTTGGATTTCTGGGAAATT